CCTGCAGGTTCTGATGAGTGCTTCTTTCGTCGGGGCCCTGTGTCTTTTCTCATCCATGTGCGCCGTGTGTGCAATCTCTGCGCTCACACTGCCCATCGAGACCAAGGGCGTCGCGCTGCAGGTTTGTATTACCGCTCCAGGAGCTCCCGTGTATCTACATGCTATTTAGAAACTAGGAGATTATGATTCAGCCAGAATCCAAACCAAACTCTCCTGAGGGTTCATAAGCCAGAATAAGGCCTGACGGGCAAGCATAGGAACGTGCTGTTGCAGCAGCTTCAAGCACTGTCACCCCAGTTGCCTAAAGCTCATTTCTCATGAACCAACCAGGCCTGCCCTAGCCCCAGCTACCTCGTGCCAGCATGTTAGCTTCAGCCAGCGCAAGCCCCTCTTTGCTACTACCTCCAGTCCTGACTTGAGGTTGCTGCTTCACAGGCACACATTCTGTTCTGCCTGTGCTGCAGGGAGAGGGGACAGCAGGTGCAAGTAATACCTTAAACGACTAAAGCCATTTCTTCATCAAATTCAAGTCAAAAGCCCCAACTGAGCTTGGGGCTAAGCCCTTGTGGCTAGCGTTTCCTAAAAAGCAATCAGCCAAAACACTAAGCACAAAGATTAAGGGGGAAAGTTTAAATTCAGACAGCCTCCCGTGCACAAGTCGTGCTAGTTTCATTACAGGAGGTGGTGAGCGGTTTGTGATTCTAGTCAACTCAGCTATACCAGCATGGAAGTTTTCACGTCGTGCATGCAGCATGCCCACGTCACACTGCCTGTCATTCTGCAGTCTTACCTGTATAAACCAGAAGACCATGGGCTAAATAATCCACATTCTTCAGCAGCCTAGCACAAAGACAGATGTTTGATCAAGCTGTTTTATGTGGGCTTCAGAACCAGACTTTAAAAAAAAACTTTGTACAAACAGCTATTACATATATTTACACACACACACACACTCTTAACACACTTAACTTCATTGGGTCACATCTTCTAAGGTTTCCCCAAGGTGCATGGGACAGTTAACCTTAGGGTTTTCAGAAAAGCAACATAAACATTGCCTGCTTCTTTAAATGTTTGTCTTTTGCTTTTATGTTTTTATGCCATTTAAAATACCTATATGATATTCTGTAAAAGTCTGGGGAAAAAAAATAACCAAAGTTTAAGAAAGGAAGTGGGCAAAGCAACTTATTCTTCCCTTGTGGGTGAAATTCAACCCCATGCACAGAGGCCAGAGAGCCACTTAGGCCTTCAAATGTTTGGATTTACAATAATTACTAAGCAAAACACTTCATTAAAACCGCTTTAGACCTAAAAGGAAAGCTTTGATTCAGCTACAGTTGGATTAACTTTGGCTAACAGTGGTTGAGATAAATAGGAGTGTAATGATTCCTCAATGGGATCCCCCCTTTTCCTGGGGACTTAATAGCATTATTATCCTCCTTGCTACAAATAAGAGTCATAAGCTCCAGCTGCTGGCCTTTACATGCACAAGTCAAAACGACGGAAAAATAAAAATTTGCAGAACTAGTTGTGTACTCAGAGAAGCCACCATTAGGTCTTAAATTCAACTTGGTAACTCTTATCTCGTGGTCATTTCAGAGATTACATTCGTGTACGTAGTCATTCAGGGACTGCTGAATCACGACTGTTGAACGTATTGTCTGGGGGCCTCACACACAGAACAGTCATCCAATCCATGCAAGAATTTAAGTGCATGATGTAAAAGCTCTTTTAACATGGCAATATTTAGTCCTAAGGCTCCAGGCAATACATGTGCTCCTTAAAGCTATGTCTAAATGAACCAACTAAATAAAAAATATGTAACTTTTTGTGAAATCTAGACGATGACAATTAGAAAGCATATCTACTCTTGTCTCAGTTTATTAGGACAGCATCAGTCCACTCTCAAAGCAGTCATGGGGATTGCCTGTCAGGGGAGAGACCTTTTGGACATATCCAAAGGCATATTATTTTCCCCTGTATCCATTTCTGTTGGTTTTCGTGTGCATTTTATTAATTTTGTGTTTTTTTTTTTTCTTTCCCATTTTTAGCAAGCAAAATGAAAGCAAGTGTTTGATGTTGGATTGGGTAGGAAAGAAAAATAAACCTTTGGAATCTGTCATTTCCTGTGAGCTGCATTTGATGTTGAATGCTGCTCCATACCATTTCCATTATTAAAAATTGCAACTGATCAGTGTAAGAGCTATGATTTGTATAGACAAATGGCAAATTTCTCAAGGACATTCCCTTTCTTATGGCTGAATAAATAGATGCTTTCTACCTGTCCCGTGACGTGAGATGAAGACTCTTTACTACTAGTGCTATTAGTAGTGACATTACACGCACACACACAAAAACAACAACAAAAAACCCCCAGCCACCATTC